CGGACTGAAGCAAGCTCCTAGACAGTGGTACTTGAAGTTTGACAGTTTTATGCAGCGGAATGGGTACACTAGATGCAAGATGGACCATTGCTGTTATTTGAAGAAATTCAAGTCATCATACATTATTCTTCTTTTGTATGTTGATGACATGTTGGTGGCTGGATCAAACATGCAAGAGATCAACGAGCTCAAGAAGAAGTTGTCCGAAGAATTCGAGATGAAGGATTTAGGGGATGCGAGACAGATTCTTGGGATGATCATAGTCAGAGACAAGGTGGAAGGTACTTTAAAGCTTTCACAGCAGAAGTACATTTAGAAAGTCCTTGAGAAGTTCAGAATGACGGATGCCAAGCCAAGGAGTACACCATTAGGGAGTCAGCTGAAACTCTCTAAGCAACAGTCTCCAAAGACCAATGAAGACAAAGATGAAATGGCTAAAGTTCCTTATGCATCAGCCGTTGGCAGTTTGATGTACGCAATGGTGTCAACAAGGCCAGACATTGCTCATGCAGTGGGAGTTGTTAGCAGGTTCATGTCAAATCCAGGGAAGGAACATTAGGAAGGAGTCAAGTGGCTGCTACGCTACTTGAAAGGCACCTCTGGAACTGCTCTCTATTTCAGGAGGAATGGGGTAATTCTAGAAGGATTTGCCGATGCTGATTTGGGGGGCTGTTATGATTCCGGGAAGAGCACTACGGGTTACATATTCACTATTGGAGGTACGACAATCAGTTGGATGTCTAGACTAGGGCTGGACTCGGGCCGGGCGGCCCGACCCGGGACCGAACCGGCCCGGTCACTGTTTGGCCCGGCCCGGCCCGTGGCCCGGTGGGTCCACCGGTTCGGTTTGGCCCGGACCGGGTGCTGGGCGGTCCGGGCTCGGGCCCAGGTTTTGGTGAACCGGCCCGACCGGTTCGGGCCCGGTCCGGGCCAGATTTTAATTTTTTTTTTGAATTTTTTTTAAGTTTTAGGTTGGATTAGGTATTTTGGGCCATTTGAGGTGGTTTGGGATGATTTGGGGTTGAGGGGGAGGGGTAGGGGATTAAATAGGAGAACAAAAAAAAATTAATTGGGCCGGTTCGGCCCGGCCCGGCCCGGCCCGGTTTGGCCCGGAACCGGAACTGGAACCGGCCACCGGCGGTTCAGGCTCGGGCCTCCCCTTTCCTGGCCCGAGGCCCGGCCGGGCCCAGGCCCGAACCGGGCCCGAACCGGCCCGAGTCCAGCCCTAGTCCAGACTACAAAAGAGTGTGGCTCTTTCAACCACAGAAGCAGAGTATATGGCCATTGCTGAAGCGGCCAAAGAGTTGATTTGGTTGAAGAACTTTCTTTCGGAGTTAGTTGGGCATAAAGCAGGGGGGTTGCGGTCTGTACTGTGACAACCAGAGTGCTATTCATCTCGCGAAGAATCCAGTGTTTCACAGCAGAACGAAACACATCAATATGCGATACCATTTTATCCGAGAGTTGATTGAAGACAGTATCATAAATTTGAAGAAGATCCTTGGTACGAAGAATCCAGCAGACATGCTTACCAAGGCGGTGACAACGGATAAGTTGAAGCTATGCATGGCTTCAACTGGCCTTCCAGACACTTGATGAGAAGGTGTGAACGAGAGAGAGAGATCACTGGTTTTGCAGAGGATACATGCTCTTCCAGACGTGTAGTCTGCCGAAGAAGAGAGTCTCACAAAAGCCGGACGAAAGCCGCACAAGAAAGCCGCATTTCGTCGAAGACGAAAGCGGAGAAAACAACCCCTAAATCTAGGGGAGACGACCGCTGCTTGCTTTGTCTATGCCGACGAAACTTCGATCGGCACTTCAAACCCCACGGCGGCAAAAACTACTCGTAATATGCGAAAATCCTAGAGAGGGAGACGCATATTGTTGCATATTTTTTCTGCTGATTTTATTTAAAAGTCTTCTAAAAATTAAACACTAGAGATCATAAAGGGAAATTAGATTATCTACATTCACCTTTAATTTAGAAATTGCTATAATTATTTTATTTTTCATCTAATTTTTACAAAAAATATATCAAATTAAATCATTTTTCATGATCTTTCAAAGGACACCAATATTATATACTACCTCCGTTCTTAAATAAATGCAACACTTTTACTTTTACACTATTCACATGTTCTACTTTAACTACGTTTTATTTATTAATGTACTAATATTATTTTATGAAAAAAATACTGTTAAACTTGTCTCATTATAAATTTTCATAATCTAATTTTTTTAATTTTTTTACTAATACAAAATCATTTATATTAATGGTCAAAGTTGTGTCTCGGCAAGTGTGAAATGTTGACCGTTGTATTTATTTAAGAACGGAGGAAGTATGTAATTAAAAAAAATCATCAAATAAATATACCGATAGCTGCTTTGTCAATCAGTTTTTTGTGTAATCTACACTAGCACAAAAAGTGTTTATGTCAGCATCTATTTTGTAGTATAATAGAAATTGCTACAATATAATATCTATTGTAACATTATTGTACCAAAAATGATACAATGAGAAATTAAAAATGCTACAATATATCTATTGTAACACCATTCGGATGCAGCATGCTAAAAATGCTGCATTTGATATATACTACGACATTTTTGGCACCCAATGCAACATTTTGCATATGCTACAAAAGCTATATTTTGTTGTAGTGCTAGGGCAAATTTTACGATAAACCCCATTATATATTTACAACCGGGTAAATTTGTAATTATTTACAAGTTTAAACCTAATTGTGATAGATGCATTTGACTTTCCTGATTCACATACTACAAAGGCCACAGGAAAGAGTTGGTTGTTTGCATCGCTACCCATAACCATGGTAATGTACCATTGTATTTCTCATACAAGTGTGTGCCATCAATAGTCAATACTGGTCGACAATGCTTAAAACCATGAATAGAAGACTCGAATGCTCAAAAGACTCTATAAAAATGGACACACTCAGTGGGGCCTGTAAGGGGTGGGTACCAGTGCACAATTGTCCCCGGATTGGAATGTTGGAGCGCTTCCATGAAATGAGGAAATTCAAAATAAGACTTCTCCCAACCTCCAAAAATTTCAGCAATGGCCTTTTGTTTGCCCAACCATGTACGTCTGTACGAAACCGTATAACCATACTTTTCCTTCAGCAACTCAATAGTATGGACTTTAAGAGACATATTAGTGAGAACAGGGTCAATTACATCTCGGGCAATAAAATCTAAAGTAATCCCCACCGTGAAGGGGATATTTCACCTGCACTTACAAACAATGGCTCAGGGGAATCTGTGTAGCTGCATATATTTTTTTTTGCAGCATCTCTAGAATACATGCGCCACGAGAAACGACAAAGATCCATCTCCTACCACCTTCATAGCGTATACCCCATGCTTCCTCAAATAATTTCCCTCCCCAATGACACGATTAGATATTGGGAAGTCAGGGAAATCCATATTCTAATTTCAATACATGACGATAATTGATGAGTACATATTAATATGCACACTTTATACACATTTCATAGACATAACTACATATTTAAAAACTCTCATATTTCACACACTCATTGTACTTCAAAGTTATTGTAACTATATATCATTACAATTTTATTAGTCCAAATTAGGTGTTGTTATCCTTTTGGAGTTTTGGTTATCATTGTAAATGTTGTTTGCTCTTATTAGTCCAAAACATGATACTCACCGAACGTTGTTTGCTTGCTGGTTGCTAGTACAAAAGCTTTACTAATAAATAATACTAATATAAAAAATAAAATGATGGGAGGGGCCATAGCCCCTACTCCTAGGCATAGCTCCGCCACTGGGTACCAGTGTTATGCTCATTTCAAAATGTTATATCGATGCATATTTCAAAATTATCACGTCAAGCAAGCAGCAAATGAACTAATGAAAATTCCAAAATGCTGTATAACATATTCCAACTAGAGGAAAATGTTGTATAACATATTTCAAAATGTTATATCGATTTAACTGCGCAGTTATCATAGTCTAAAACATGATACTCACCGAACTGTACTCATCAGAAAATTCCACCGGAAACCGCCCCAAATGGCGATGGCCGGACAAAGCCTCCTATATAAGAGGTGATTTGCACTTTTTAAATTAGTTCGAGGGCTAATTTGCTACTCTTCTCTTGAATAATTTTTTGCTGAGTGTATATTAACAGTGCTGGATTACAATAAAAAATTGAATTAATTGAATGAATATGTAGAAAATAAATTTGTTGACGGAAAAGTTATGGAGTAGTTAACCTAACTAAAAACCTTCCAAATTTACCCTAACTAACCACGGCTCGATTGGATTTGTGTTCCGGTCCGAACCGCGTACCTTACATCAGGCCGTACCAGGTAATTTGGCATGGAGATGGGGTGAAAAGGTATGAATGACAGAGTCGGGAGCAAGATGACGGCGTAAAAGTGATACAAATTTCCCTCCAATTTCTCAGTCGTAACTTATGCAATACTCTCAACTTGCCCTCCAATTCATCAATCCTTTCAGCGTTCCGGCATCGCTTTCTGACTCTTTCCATTTGATCGTCCTGAATGCCCTGCAAGTGAGTCTTGATTTAACAATATTTTTACTGATAATATTAATTTGGGGATAATTACATGAACGCTGTACTAGTTTCCTTCTACTTCCATGTGGAAGATAATGAAACTGGGAATCCATAGGATTTATTTTGCTGGGAATTTCCGATGGTTATACTTCATATGGGGATTGTAGAAGTTAACATGACTCAATCCGGGGGAAAGAAGAACAAGGAGGACGAGACAAACGCCAATTTTTCGGATGCTGATGATAAGACACAGCCTGATGATAATCAATCTTTCGCAAAAGGTTAGTTTTTTTTCGCCCTTATTTGGATTTTACTGGCCATTTAACTTCATTGTGTTAGTGGCAATTTGGGTGTTAGACTTATGTTTCAGTGTTGAGATTGTTGGGATTGGAAAATTCTTCTATTCAATATCAAGAACAGAATTACAATAGGAGGAGCAAACTCTCACACTCAACTATTACAAAAAACCAATCCTCACCAATACACTTCTACTCTAAGTGTATTTCACTCTTCACACACTTTTCTCACTTTCTAAACTGATGATATGAACAACAATAGAACACTCTATTTATAGGCTACTTTGGAGACAAGAGGAAGTTGCATCCATGCTTCCATAGTTATCTCCATATCTTCTCCCATCTTTATTTGTTGGAGACCTCCTTCCAAGAAGGTGTGAGATGCCTCTTGGCAACTTCCAAGAAAGAAGGTGGAAACTCCCTACAAATCTCCCCCTCCACCTTTTTCTTTATTTCTCTCGTACCTGCGATGCTCGTTGGCTCCCCCTCGCTGGCAACAAGTATCCATTCGGACGTGGAATACTTTCTCTGTGGAATTATGCCTCGCATAGAACGTCGAACATGAGTACCCTCAGCTTCGTCTTCAGATGAAGGCTCCCCCTGCTGAGGAATATCATCACTGTGAGTATCATCATCACCTACTGAACCATCACTCTCTTGTTCAGTAGTATCATGCATCTCCTCGTCGCTGAGAGGAATGTTTGATGATACAGACACTTCGTCTTCTGGAGTATGTTGTTGGCGGATTATTGGAACACGCCCATGAAACTCGTTTTCATGAAATACAACATCTCTGCTTCGTACAACTTTCTTCAATTCGGGATCCCACAACCGGTATCCGAATTCTTCATCACCATACCCGATGAAGATGCATGGGTTTGACTTGAGATCAAACTTCTGTCTCAACTCCTTGGACACATGTGCAAATGCCTTGCACCCGAACACTTTCAAGTGAGAGTAAGAAACATCTCTTCTTGACCATTTCTTCTCTGGCACTTCAAAGTTTAAAGGAACAGAAGGTGACCTGTTTATAAGATAACAAGCTGTCAGCACAGCTTCACCCCAGAATGGCTTAGGTAGTTTAGCCATACTTAGCATGCAACGAACTTTCTCCATAATGGTCCGATTCATTCTTTCGGCTGCACCATTGTGTTGCGGAGTTCGTGGAACCGTCTTCTCATGCCGGATTCCGTATGCAGCGCAATATGCTGAGAACTCTCGGGAAGTGTACTCTCCTCCATTGTCTGAACGTAGACACTTCAACTTCTTCCCTGTTTCTCTTTCTACCATGGCATGAAATAATTTGAAGCGATCAAACACTTGATCCTTACTCTTCAAACAATAAGCCCATACCTTTCGTGATGCATCATCAATGAATGTCACGAAATACCTGCTTCCTCCAAGTGACTCCTCTTCAATGGGTCCGCATACATCAGAGTGTACAAGACTGAGTAACTCTAAATGGTTCTTCCTGGTAGAACTGAAGGAAATCTTGTGTTGTTTCCCGAATAGACAGTGCTCGCATGGATCTAGGGCAACACCTTTGCCCATGGAAATGACTTCCTTCTTTGCAAGAGTTGTCAATCCCTTCACGCTCAAGTGGCCTAGCCTCCGGTGCCACAAGTTTGGTGATATCTCTTCTTCAATAGCATTGAGACTCGGATGACATAACTTTGCATGAGTTTTATAAAGAGTACCACAAATATTGCCTCTTGCAACAACCAATGAACCTTTAGATAACTTCCACATACCTTCTTTGAATCGGTTAAGATATCCTTGCTGATCCAGAGCTGTACCGGAGATGAGATTCAATCTAAGATCCGGAACATGTCGAACATCTTTCAACACAAGTGCGCATCCGACATTGGTTGTTATGTGCACATCACCAATGCCAACAATCTTCGAGAAACTCGTGTTTCCCATCTTCACAGCTCCAAAGTCTCCTGACTTATAAGATGTGAATAAGTTCTGGTGTGGAGTAGTGTGAAATGATGCGGCTGTATCAATCACCCACTCAACTTCATGAGTACCTACGTGTAAACATTCTTGTTCACCATGTGTAACAAGACACACGTCTGATGACAAACTAACCATGGCCTCACCATCTTCTTGGCTAGTATTTTGACTCGTTTGTGGCTGTTCTCGTAGAAACTTTCTACAATCTCTTTTTCTATGCCCATAATTACCACAATAGTTGCAATATCCTTCAAACCAAGTATTGTTTTCACAGGACATACCTCGTTCTTGTGATCGGCCGCGAACTTGAGAATTTCCTCTGTTTTGACCTTGGCCTCTACCTCGACCTCGACTTCTTCCTCCATTTCTGCCTCCCCCTCGTCTGTTGGTTTCTGACACGAAGGCATATGATTGTTCAGTCCCGGCTTCTTTTCTTCGGGCTTCTTCGTTCATAAGGGCATCTGTGACCATCTGCATAGTCACTTTGCCATTGGGGGCAGAATTGCTGAGAGTGACAACAAGAGTCTCCCAGCTGTCAGGTAGAGAGCTCAAGAGTAGTATCGCCTGCTCTTCATCTTTGAGAACCCATCCTGTGGTGCTCAACTGATTCACAAGATCCTGGAATTGACTGGTGTGTTCTGACACCGAAATACCTCCTCGTAACTTGTGGTTTACTAATCTCCTCATTAGTAACGTCTTATTTCGGGCGGTTTTTGCTTGATACATGCTACCAAGCTTCTCCCATAGTGTGTAAGCACTTTGTTCTTGCGCAACATGGTGGAACACACTATGATCTATCCACTGTCGAATTTGTGCGACAGTTTTTCTATTCATTTTTGTCCATTCTTCATCCGTCTTTTTATCCGGTTTCACGCCATTATTATCAAGAGGATCGGCTAAATCCCTCAAATTTAGCAAATCCTCCATCCGAGGCTTCCACATATTGTAATTTGTGGAAGTGAGCGCAATCATGGTGTCCGATGATGATTTATCCATAATAAAACGCTCAAAATATCTCGTACCTTATTTTTGGAGCCGAATTTGGACAAACGGAGCTCACCGTTGGATCCGGAATGGCCGAAAATGGTAGGAACCGGTCTGACCTCGTCCAAAACCGGTCTGGAAATAGGTGAACCGGCCTCCACAACTTCGAACCGGTTCGGTCCGGTTCAAGCAACAAACCAGTGGGCAGACCAGCAGGCGGATGACGTGGCAACAGCTGGACTGCGCTGGCGCTGATGTGGCGCCACGTGTCACTGACGTGGCGCTGACGTGGCACCCAGAGGATGGCTTGCACGGATGACGTGGCGGATGACGTGGCGCTTACGTGGACTGACGTGGCGCTGACGTGGCGGCTGACGTGGCGCTGACGTGGCTCGTCTTCTTCCTCTGGACTGCGTGATGACGCAATGATGACGCAGGCAGTTTTCCGGCGCGTTTGGGCGGTGCGTTCGGCCTCTTCCGGTGGCCAAAAAATTCCCCAAAAATACCAGATTTCTCGTCTCGACGAGACGAATCTAACGGTATGATCAGATCGTGATTCCGAGCAACTTGAAAAATCACGATTTTCTAACCTGTAGAAATTTATCTGAAAATGAGAAAACAGTGTATGAAAGCTCAACCTCGCTCTGATACCACTTGTTGGGATTGGAAAATTCTTCTATTCAATATCAAGAACAGAATTACAATAGGAGGAGCAAACTCTCACACTCAACTATTACAAAAAACCAATCCTCACCAATACACTTCTACTCTAAGTGTATTTCACTCTTCACACACTTTTCTCACTTTCTAAACTGATGATATGAACAACAATAGAACACTCTATTTATAGGCTACTTTGGAGACAAGAGGAAGTTGCATCCATGCTTCCATAGTTATCTCCATATCTTCTCCCATCTTTATTTGTTGGAGACCTCCTTCCAAGAAGGTGTGAGATGCCTCTTGGCAACTTCCAAGAAAGAAGGTGGAAACTCCCTACAGAGATGCTTACGAAAAATATAATTAGAAGTGAATTTTGGTTACAAAACATACCCAGATTTTTAAAGAATGGGAATCTGTACTGGGAATAGAAACGTAAAATATTTTTCTTTGAAATTCTGCACATGGAGAAAGATAAAATTCGGTCTTTAAGAGATGAAACTCATGTTGAGTTCCCCCATATTTGAAGTTGTTACTGAAGAACATAAAATTGAAGTAAAACTATTGTTTTTACATAGATCTTAGGTAGCTGTGAAAAAAGATTATTTTTAGTTAGGAAATGTGGGTGGGTGGGGGGGGGGGGGGGGTGCATCCATGAACGATTAATACTTAGAATGTTAATCTTGTAGTGAATACTTAGAACATTAATCTTGTAGTGAATACTGAGTTGGACAAAGTAAATTCATATTTTCCGGTAATGGGTATTCTATACTGTGAATAGAAACCTAAAATGTATTATTATGTCATTTTTTTTGTCTGAAAGTAGAAATTCACTTAGTGCCACCATCTTTCATTTTGAGCTATAATGTTGTTTAAGAACTCAAATTCGTGTAAAGATTATATTTTTCATGGAAAGGTGTGATTTTATTTTCCCTGAACAGTGGGAAAAGTGCATCGATGTACTTTTTTAAATATGTTATTATGAAGAACACAAAGAGGACATTCACATCATAAATTAGCCATTGTTATGTAAAGACTTGTATGTTCTTGCAAAAGGCACAATAGTTTTTAATAACCTGAATGATTTCATTTTCTTCGAATGGAGTTACAGCGGGAAACACTTACTTTTTTCTATATTCTTTTATGTGTGCACATAAAGTCTGATTTCCTTATGCTATTGCCCCCTCATTTCTAAATTTGGTGAAAAGGCACCAGTGAATCCCCACTCATTAGATGTAGAGTAAATCAGCAGGTATATATTGCTGAACTTTCATAATTTAAGTGTTTCAAAATACCAAATCAATGGACTCAAGATACTTTCCCTTTGTAACATTTGAATCTTGAAATACTCATATATGTTGATCTTGCTTGATTAGGTGGTGAAATTCAAAGCGAGGGTGATAAGTGGCTAATGATGCAAAACACAATGCATGACGATGATCCGCTTCTAAATGGGGATGGTTTTGAGACTCAATCAGTTGATCTTTATGGTGATACCCAAGTATTAGATTTTTCTGGTGATACCCAAGTAGTTGAGGATGTCGGTGAAACGCAAGTGGTTTACAACCATTACAGTGTAGAGCACATGCATACTCAGGTGTTAGACGAGTGCAACTCTGAAGCCAAGAGTGATAGTGGTAATGAAGGGAGTGATAGAACTGAGATCTTGGGTGAAACTCAAGAGATATCAGATGATAATGCTACTTCTTTGACCCAGCTGAACTTTCAAAACACCAGCGTTGCTCAAGGTGTTGACATATGTTTGAGAGTAGAATCAGATGTTCTGAGTAACAAGACGTGCCATGCAGGTAATAATGATCTGTATGAAGTATAAACAGTATGTTCTCATTGTAAATATTTATAAATTACTTAGTATAACATCAAGGGGATGTTTCCTTTGTTGTTAATCACACCATTAGGTTACTAATGCAATTGAAGTAAACATAGTGGGTAAAAGCATGCCTATAATGTAAACACCACTTTAGCCTTCATATTATCGTGCAAAATATTTATTTCCAAATGCACCCTCAACCCCAACAACGTCTATGAGCAACTGAGAATCATCTCTGCTAATTGTCACCGCTCCTAACCTTTGCCACTTCTGGGTACCACTGCAGCAAGTCACCACCATTGCAGGCTGTCACCGTCAATCACCACTATCATCACTGATCGCTATTACCTATACCATAACTGGTTGCCGCCACTTTCTTTTTTTAAAATCACTATTCAGCTTTTTGTTTTTAAAAAAGCTAAAAATATAAACATTTGCTTCTTAAATTTAAGCAGTTTTGAGCTAAAGATGTAAGCAGCGGGAGGGGTGCTTAAATTTGCTTTTCACGTTTTCAATTACAATAAAGGTTCTTTTTGACCAAATCATTAACTCTCACTTTTTTAAAATCACTTTTGTTTTTAAACACTACCTACATGGCTACATTTACTATCAATCACTTTTCTAATTTAAATCTGTTCTCAAAAATAGAGGCAAACACAAACACTCCTTTGAAATAGTGAAAAGTTAATCTGTAAACAATGTACTCTATTATTTATGGAACTAAGATAATCTGGTTTTCTTGGTTCTGTGTAAATAAGGAATCCTTAATATGTTGTCACTAAACAAAATGTGTTTCAAAGAGAAACTGTTTCGTCATCAGTTTTGTAATGCATTGTGTTTCAGGACCTGTGCATGGGGGTATATCAAATGGTGTGAGGAATTTTAACAACACACATGTTTCGGCGGATAATGTCGAACTTGATGAAGTTCTAGGTAACGAAAATGGGTGCATGCTTGGTAGCTCAGCTGCGAGGAAACTTTTCACAGAGGATACTTTAGATGAAATTGAAAATCTAGTAGATAGAAATGATTGTGCTGATGATGTAGCAGACTTGAATCAGATGTTTGCTTCAGAAAATGTATGGGCAGGGTTAAGTTATGTTGATTCTCAAGAACCCGGAGACGCATCACAGGCTGAAGCTCTTGATATCGTTGACAAGCTTCTCAAGTTTAATAGAGTTGTGGATGATGAGGACATTGGCATCGGAAAGACTTCGGCTGAAAAAACAAATCATGTGCCAAGTGCAAAAGGGAAAAAGAATTTGGCTGTGCTAGGCTCTAGAAGCACACATAAATTAGGTGCTACCTTTGATTGGGACAACAACTATGAGGATGAAGGTGGTGGTGAGTTTTTCCAAAAGAATAAGGATCTTTTAACTGATAAAAAAACTTCTTCCTCCCGACGGAAGCCTAGACGACTTCAAAGTGAACATAATAAGGCAGTCGTTGACTGTGGAGGCGAAGTAGAGCTTCCGGAAAAGCCAAAAACCAGGGGTAATTGTTTCAAAGATCTAAACAAGCAGTTGATTAATATGTTTGATGATGTAGCAGATGATAAAACTGGCAATAATGATCCTAACATGACAGATGTTGGTATTGATACTCAAATGGCAGCTGAAGTTGTGCAATCATTGTGCTATGGTAGTTCTTTGGTCCAAGATGGATCTATCACTGCAAACAGTTCTCTCAAAAGTGGAGCTAATAATGAGGCACAGCTGAGACAGAGCTCCTCAAAGAAAGGAACCCGCTCTACTCGATCTGCCACACGACAATCCCTGAAAGCAGAGCAGATGATTGCTGGAGCAGAAGAAATTTCTAAAAATGCCAAGCAATGTGATGGAAACATGGATTCATCTGCCTGTACGATTGGTCAGATGGTCCATCTCAAAGGAATAAAAACTCATCGAACACGGGCGTCATTGGCACAAGAAAATCATGCTCAGTATAATATGAGGCCAAGCAAATCGGTTACTGATGGGAGTGCTCCTCGGTATTTGAGTTCAAGAAAGAAAAGGCGTTTGGCCTCCAGTAGTGATGCAGCTGATGGTGGTGGCATTTCAGTTCCAAATAATACAGTCATTGGAAAGGATTCTAAAAAATGCAGTACAAAAAGTGATGTGCCGTGCAGAAAAACTACAAATGTGAGTAGAGCAAATGGTGGTTTAGATGCCTCACCAAAACATCAGTCTAGAACATCAACCTCTCCAACTACTACTCCGATTAGTTGTATGACATCTAGGGTTGAGGCTTCACCTATATGTGTGGGTGATGAGTATCATAGGTGTTCACGCCGGAGAAGTATGTTGGGATCATCTCTTATTAGAGAACTTAATTCCTTGCATGGCGTTGGTCTACTAGGGGAATCCAATGTCATAGATTCAAGAAGGCGGAGAGATATCACAAGTATTCGAGTCTTGTTCAGCCGCCACCTCGATCAAGATATAACAAGACAGCAAAAGAAGGTAAGCTTTATGTGATCTATTTTCTGACAGTTTATACTGCTGATTGCTGAACTGACATTACCCATGTCATGTTTTTTTCTTGAAGATATTGACTCGCTTGGGAGCTTCTCTTGCATCCTCTATGTCAGACGCCACTCATTTTGTAACAGATGAATTTGTGCGCACAAGAAATATTCTGGAAGCTATTGCCCTTGGGAAACCAGTGGTGACACACTTATGGCTTGAGAGTTGTGGACAAGTTAGCTGTCTTATAGATGAAAAGAATTATATACTGAGAGATGTCAAGAAGGAAAGAGAGTTTGGCTTTAGCATGCCTGTTTCTTTGGCACGAGCCAGTCAGCATCCACTTTTAAAGGTATGGATGAAACAGTATTTGTGTTATGATTCAGGCAAAGCAACTATAAGATCATTTTTTCATTGTAATTTGCAGGATTGTAAAGTCTTTATCACCCCAAATACTAAGCCTGGTAGAGAAATATTATTTGGTCTGGTGAAGGCAGTTCATGGTTTGGTATGTAGTTCTCCCATCCATTTACTTATAGAGTATAACATGCATAGCTGAGTTGAGTTAGGTGTACCGCACCTGCGTCTAGAAGAGTGCATTGACTAAAATTAGTATCACTCTGAAGACATTTATCTCATAATCTCTTGATTTTTGTTCCAATGATTTTCCCTTTACGCTTGTCATTTTCCATTCATTTTAATGCTGTGTAAAAATGTTTTTTTTTCCAGCCCATTGAGAGATGGGGAAGATCTGCTATGAAGGATTTGACACCGACTGATGGTATTTTAATTTTATCTTGTGAAGATGACTACGATCTCTGTGTACCTTTCATTGAGAAAGGTTGGGTAACACATTCATGTACTTACATGTAACCTTTAAATATTTACTATTTAATTACAATCAGCCATCACTTTGCAAATACAGGAAAAACAGTTTATAGCTCAGAGCTTCTACTGAATGGAATAGTTACTCAGAAACTTGAATATGAAAGGTTTATACTTCTTTTTTTGAATCTCTCAATTTCTTTCATTTTTTCGTATTGTTGTTGCCATGACCCACCCACTCCCAGGTTTCTATTTATATTTGATTCTCTATCTTGATCACGAGTATCGTGAATCAAACCTCAGTTGTTTTGAACTTTCAATTTAAATTAGGCTTGGATTTACTTCGGTGTATATTTCATCGTGCGTCAAGTCCATTGGTCATTTTATCCATTTCTCCTAGTTTATTTATCTATCTATGCATGATATACTCTGCAAATGTCACATATGTGATTTGTTATACCAACAAATAATGCTACTTGAGAATGCGGTTGCCAGTGGTTGCCCACATGAAGATTGTGGGCTAGTGTTGATGTATACTTTCTAATTGTGGAGTATATTCCTTTTTCATTGAAGGTATGAATTATTCACAGACCATTTCAAGAAAACACGATCAGGAGCTTGGGTGAAGAAGAGTATCAGACAGAATTCCCATTTGAGGAAATCATAAGTATGCATTATTATGATTTCTTGCATTCCAGATTGTGTGTTGATGTGCAGATCACTTGTGCTTCGTTTTTGGGATTGGAGTCTGTATATACTGAATATGTGCCTATTGTGTAGCTGTTATGTAGCCCGTTGTTAATCTTCTTCGGAGCAAACAATTAGTCAACATAAGTGACTTATGATGTTCTGAAGAGATCGGGCCGGGACATAAGTGTAAAAAGTTATTTTTTTCAGTTTTCAATAATTATAATAACAATAAATAATAGGGAAAATGGAAACTAATTATCCAAACTTTAAGCGGTCTTTTTACAATAGTCTCACCTTATCGTAATTCAGAAATAATCCAACTTTTACACCCCATCTTCATTCGTTGGTCCCTTATTGGTTGATGACCTGCTAGGCTGTTATTCCAGGTTTTTCATTATCTTTGCAAATCAATCTACCATATATAAATCCCACCTTTTACAGATCTTATCGACAATCCAATATATGATTTTTTTTCCCTAAAATTTTTCTTTCATTTTTATGTTTTCATATTCGTTGTAGGCTCTTTTTATAATTTTTTTTTCGGGTTACTTGTTTATATCTTTCTTTGAAGTTTTAGAAAAGAGAAAAATATAGAGGACATTCCTCATAGTATTTAATGAATCTTCAATTGCAAGAATCTAAGTATAATTTCATAATTTCTCAAATAGGACTAGCTTTCCAATTCTTTCCTTACTTTGTTTAGTGCATTTCATATTTCATTAATAACTAAAACATAAAAGTAATAACATAACCATATTTATAATAAAAATGTTGAAAAAATAAAAAAATGAAAAATAAATATTAATAAAATTAACAAAACTAAAACATTAGAAAAATGAAAACTATAAAATACAAAACTCAAAAATTTAAAATAAAAAAATAAAAAGTAAAAAACAATATGCAGGCATTTGTTGTCGCTTTAACAACCTTCCAACACCACCAGCTCCGACCATCGGGGAAAATGCCACATGTGTTAATAATGCATCTTGATAACAATTTTTTTAAAAAAGTTTTCCATTTGAAAGAGTAAAAATGTCATATTCATGATATTTTTAGTGAAAAATTGCAGTGTACACAAAATGACATTTTTTCCGCCGATTGGAGCAGGCATTGCTGGGAGTGGCGAGGCTGCGGGAAAGGCCTCCAATTATTTTATATTTTTAATGTGTTATATGACTTATATCTAGTTTTATTTACTTTAAAAAAATTACTTTTAAAGTTTTCCCTAAATTATTTTATATTACTACTCCCTCCGTCCCTAAAAGGATTGCCAAGTTTGACCGGCACGTAGAATAATAAAGTAAAAACTGTGTGGTAGAGATTTGTGCAGAGGAGAGAGAAATAACATGATCCACAAATTGATTGATTAAAAGGGAAAGTGGAAAAGTTTTTGGGACAACCAAAAAAGGAAAGTTGGCAAAGTTATAAGGGACGGAGGGAGTATTTATCATTAAAAAACGTTTAACCTTGTTTTTATTTTGTTACTATATTTTTATAAATCGAAATCCTTTTTTTATTTTTCATTTTTATTATAATATAAAGTTTTATTATCCTATTAATTTATGGTAAGGGTAGAAATGTAGAATAAGAAGATAGAACGTACTTTAGTCCTATTTTGGAAAGATAGATAACATAGTCTTATTTTTGCATTTAGGGATTAGTATACTCCTATTTTGAGGTTGTTTTATAAAAAATATATTAGAGGTGAAATAAAGGTAAGAAAATGAAAAAGAAAATAAATAAGCGTAAGTAAAAAGAAATTAAAGTAAAGAGTTAGTACGGTGAGAAAAAGATGTTTTATAAGGAAACTAATCCCAAAAAATATATAAAAATGAAAATGAAATTATAAACAGGAATAATAAAAAGAAGGAAAAATAAAATACATAAACATTGAAAAAATCTTGAAAAGAAATAAAAATAAGAATAAGAAGACCAAAAAGGGAAATAAAAGATCAGAATCAAGACGATAAAAATAAAAAAGGGAAAAGTTTAAGGAACAACAAAGAAAAATGATATGTGGGACCGCTTGAAGAACAATGGTGAAAAGGTGAGATTTATAGTTGAATGATTTGCAAAGAAAATGAAAAAACCTGGAATAACAGGTCATCAATCAGTCAGGGACCAACAAATGATGATGAGGTGCAAATGTTAGATTATTCCTGAATTACGATAAGGTGAGACTATTGTAAGAAGGCCGCTAAAAGGTTGGATTATTAGTTTCCATTTTCCCTAAATAATACAGAGTAATACAATAACATTTGCAATCTCTCAAAAAGTATATTGGCAAAATAGTAATAAAATGGCATGAAAAGAGTGTTTAATAGCATCACCAATCCAATACTCTAGTCTAAGGACATGTTTAGTTCATAGGTTACTAAACAGTGCTCATTAGGACTTGTGTTCATAAGCTCATGTTTATTTTACAGGATTTAAAACACGTTTAAAATTAAGAGCCTGTTTCGTGACCTTGTTTTTCATGTTATCAGGCTTATCGGCCAACTTTTTTACAAAACACATAATTTTTTATTTCGAGAGCTGAATTTTATAATAATAAGAAACAGTAAGGTTGAAGTTAGAGGGCGTTTGTTAAGGTGTAAAATACATTTTACATGCAAAGTGTAGGGATGTAAACAATTTACATTGTTTGGTACGATTATTTAATGTAAACTGTGAGGTAGTATTTTAAAACATTTTACCATGTAAACTAATTCACCGAGGGCGGTAAAGTATTTTACATTCTCAATACTGCGTATAAAATTGATTAATTAAAACCTTACAACGTCTCCTGCTTTTTCACGCCGGACTTTGCCCGCATCTCTCATCTTATCCAGATTCTTCTCAATCGCAGCACCACATGTTCTTCCACATTCCACCAAAATAATTTAGAGATCAATTAACATAGTTTCCATTTGTTGGATAATATACCTCCCATACGGACGAATTGATTAGGGACTTTTTTTTAATAGTTTTTTAATTAAATTTTATGAGTTTTATTGATAACTTTTATCAAATATAAAGTAATTACACATCATGGGTAGAAACCTTTTATGGCAGCCAGAAGTAGATGGTATGTTTACTTTAAAATCTGCCTATAATGCAATCATTGAAGACAGTCCAAGTATGTTCTCCTTTCAACATGCCTGGCATTCTAAACAACCCTTAAAGATCAAGCTTTTTCAATGGAAGGTTCTTCATGGGATTCTTCCTATCACAGACAGACTACTCAGACTTCATCAGGTGCTTAATCCTTCTATTTGTCCCTTGTGTAGGAAACATGAAGACTCTCTTGACCATCTTTTATTTAGCTGTCAAGTGGTGTATCCTATTTGGGTCTATTTCATGGGTATTCTTGGTGTGCCTCGAATTCAGTCTGATTTTTCTGTTAGACAAGCGTATATTACATGGTGGCTTAAAGCTGGTTCTAAAACGATGGATGATATTTTTAAGCATAACATGCCTGGCATTATAAGTTGGTTTGTGTGGACCAATTATACTAAAATCATTTGGGGGAATCAGGAGTATAGACCTAATACTGATAGTATCATATGTCAAATCATAAGTCTGGGTATCTAGCTTCTCAAGGATTAAAGTCCGTTCAGTGGGGGCGGTATTATTCGAGGAAAAATTAATTCCCAGAGACTTTAAGCCTATTGGAACTCAAATTAAAGCAATCAAGTGGCATAAACCCAAATCTCATTACAAGCTGAATGTGGATGCTTCGTATTTACCTGATAAATCTGGGGGAGGTGCGATTTTAAGGAATCCAAGTGGTGATATGGTTGCAGCAGTATCCTTCCCCATCGAAGCTTACTCGAGCTTAAAAGCAGAGATTATGGCGGTGGTGTATGCGGTTCGCTGGGCGGTTGATGCTGGATTCACCGGGTTTGAGCTCGAGACGGATGCTGCAGATGTTCTCTCGATGTTGCCTCAGGTGATTGGTGGACGATGGAAGATCATATTTCAGGAAATGAGGCTGTTCGAAATTAGTAAGGGGATTCGGTTCAGACATGTCTTACGTGAAGGGAATTGGGTCGCTCACTTTTTGGCTGTTTCATCTACGGCCCAGGTCCATTCATTCCAGCTCCCTAAAGAACTTCCTTCTATGGCCCGTAATGCTTACTTTCGTGATTTGTTTGGTTTTCCCTCTTTTCGTTGTTTGTATTAATTTATATTTTCTGCGGGAGAGGTTTCGGTTTGGTCCCCCTCTCTGTTGTAATCAGTTCTATTCTTAATAAAATACTGGCAAATGACTCCCGGCTTTTGCCCCACTGATTTTGGTGGTTGACCTTCCGGGATAAAAAAAAAAAAATCATGGGTAGAAACCGTAGAACCTTAGAACATCACACGTGTTTGAAAAATTACAAATACTATTTTCTTGGGTTTATTAGCATACGATGACATGTTAAAAGAGACATGTTAGTTTTTTTTAACTTTATGAATTTGAGTCAAACAATTATTTTACATGTATTTTAAAAATAGATTCCATATATCTCACCAAACAATGTATTTGTATTTTACGTGTAAAATGATTACATCCCTACACTTTACATGCAATTACTTTACATGTAAAGTTTTAATGTGCAAACAACCAAATGCCCCCATACTTTTCTGACTGTATTACTTGAAGTTACTATACAAGATCATTTTAGCTATTTTTTTCGTCTAATTTTTTCTTTATTTTATTATTAAAAAATATTTTAAATATAATTTTTTCATAAATCAGTAAAATCAGCCAATCCAACCACTTTAGTCAGAACTTTATAAATTTCAGCAAAATCAGCTGATTCAGGTAATTTTAGTGTTACCAAACAGGCTCTAAAATGTCAAAAATAACTCTAAACATATTGATAGAGTATTAATTCTAGAGAGAAGGGAGAGCTAGAGAGAGAAAGTGAGTAATTATATTTCTCAATTTGGAACCCCCTATAATTAGCCCCTTGGGGTCTATTTATAGGTAAAAATGTGGATTTGGGCCCCTAGCCTTGGGCTTAGGAGGCCCATTACAATAATCATGCCATCTTTGGGCGAATAAGGCCACTAATGGGCTGAGTACAATAATTAGTACAAAAAATAGGAAAATACATTCTGCCCGGACGAAGTCCGGACGATGCGGTCCATGGACGATGCGGTCCATGGACGACGCGGTCCATGGACGACGCGGTCCGTAGAAATCAGGCGATATCTTCTCTCTCGGACGTCACGTGCCTTTGGCCGATGCGGGTGTCCTGCTGGTGTTTTTTGGGCCGTTGAGTATGTGAGCCATGGGGTCCAGGCCCATATACTCTATCAGGAGTCCCCCACTCTCTGAGCTGAGGTGAAGCCGAGGCGAAAGGGAGTATTTGCTCCTCTCAGGTTGGCCGTTGCGTGAGCCTAAGGTGCTTGATGGCCGAAGAGTTTCTGCTTCGTTTTTGGATGAAGCGGTTCCCTTGTTTGATGTGGATGAAGCGCGCTTGGGCATTCATAGCCTTGATGCGGGCCGCTGCACTCTTTATGGAAGTGCTTTTGAAGACGAGGCGATGCGCTTTTCTTTTTTGTAGATGATGCGATGAATCCTGGTGGATAAGTTGGCATGCTTTCGTCGTCATTTTGCTGGGGCCGAAGAGCTCCCATCTATTCTTTTGTCCGTAGTGATGACATATTTTCATGAGATGGAGATGGTTAATTCCATTTATGTAGACGATGCGATGCACGCCTTTGATTTGTCATGTAGCCGAAGCGTTTGATTTGTGGGTTCTTGCTCTGGTGAGCCGATGCGGTCCCCCAGTGTGCGCAGCCGTTGCGCGCTTAGGTTTTGTATTTTGGGTTTTTCATTTTGGGCTCTGTGGCCGACGTGACCCGCAATGCCATTGAGGTAGCTGACGCGACTCTTAATGCTTTTTTGAGGTGAATCGCCCGTCTTTTATTGTTGGTGAGCCGTAGCGCATCCTTTTTGCATTAAGGCCGTTGCGTTTTCTTTCCTTGTGGCCGATGCAGTCCCCCAGTCCCCCACTCCTTTGGCCGAAGAGCATCTGAGGCACAAGGGAGTAATGAGCCGATTCGGTGCCTATGCGTTAGTCGCGATTCCAACCCTTAGGCGAACCTGTCCAAGGTAACCCTGTGGGAGAACCCTTGGACGAAGGCCGCGATACCAGGGTCATCGTCGACGATGCGCGCCTAGGAGGCCGTAGCGGTCTATATATTAAGGTTTTCTGGGTCGTTGTGAGGACGTAGAGTTAGGCCGATGCGTTCCTTTTTCGGCCGTATGGGCCGACGCTTGCTTTGAAGCTCTGTGGTACTTGGGCCGTAGTGGTACTCGGCCGATGCCTTGTTCTCTATAAGTTTGAGTTGGGCCGTAGCGGGTGGCTCTAGGGCGGAATGCGAAAGGTCAAGTCCTGATTGGTTCTGGGGAGAGGTGGCCGTTGTGGTGGCCAATCGGATTGTGCCACGTGTAGTGACCGTTGGTGGGTGTCTATAAATACCCCCTCATTCCGAAGCCACCCCCTTATTTGTGCTTTGTTGTTGTCGAATTGCTGCCCAAATCCTTCTAGAGAGAGAAACTCCTCGAGTTGCTTCAAGTGTTCTTCGAGCCTTCAAATCTTCAAAGGTTAGATACTTTTAATTTTCCTTTGATTTCTCCATATTTTGCTCCTTAGGGTGTTAGATCTAGTGTTCTTTAGGAAAGTCACTTTGATCCGAAAACTACCTCTATGACGTAGCGATAGTTGTTATGCCGTTCCCTGACGGCCGTAGCGTCCCCTCCCCCATTGACTTGACAGCTTCATTGGACGAGTCTGATTGGCCTTTTGACGAGGACGACGCGTCTCCCAAGGTGGACCTAGACGTTGTGGCAGCATTTGAGTTTGAGATGGAGAATACGGCAGACTATCGTACCTCTGCGGACGAGGAGCGTCTGGTGGATGATGCGGGTTCTCAACCCTCTGGTGAGGACGAAGCGAGCTCCGACCCCAAACTTCGTGGCGACGATGCGGGTGATGCATCCTCGGCCGCTATTCCTTGTCCTCCCCCGCTTACCTCGGTTCCTGGTATCGCTCCGTCTTCCTCCAAATCCAAGATGCGTAAGTCGCGTCGTCGGAAGGGGTTATCTGGTAGCATCTCGCAACTGGATTTGACGAACCTTTATATCATAAGGCCGGAGGGTTCCCAAGGTGAATATCAGGTGGCTCAGCTCTACGTCGGGCCTTATGGAAGGGTTAGGGCGCCGAAGCCGACGGACCATGTTCTGGATCCCCCTCCCGGTTACTTCGGAGTGTATCCGATGAGCTTCTCCCAGGGTTTGAGGTTCCCCCTTCATCCATTTGTTGTGGAGTATCTCAACATGATAGATCTTCCACCCGCTTTCACTACTAGAAAAAGGGTTTTTAACAACCACCATATAACGACGACTTTCATAAATCGTCGTTAAAAATATCTTTTAACAACAAATAATGAGTTCGTCGTAATTAAGATTTATTTTTAACGACCACACACTTTGAGTTGTCGTTATTAGTGAGTTTGTAGTCGTCGTTAATACGAATTAATTATTTAGACATATTTTTTACAATTCAATTATAATTATAATACTTCGTAATATATTACGTATTAACTAATTAATCGATGAGTTGATTAAAAAAGTGGCGCGGCAGCAAAAAAATTCCCGCTGCAGCAAAAATTTTCCCAATCCCGCTATTATTCTTTTTCCAATACCTAATCCATCACTCAATTTTATTGGCGGTTACCTTGCAAAACCAAAACCCCAATTATACGTACTTTTCCTTAATTTCTTTTCACACCTTCAATTCCTTCTTTTGATATGCTTGCTAAATAATTTAATTAAGTTACCCTAGCTATTGTGCGGCTATTCATCACCGCTGGGACTCATCTGCGTTCTCAATCAGCCGCAGGTCACGACTATCCATCCCGGCTAAAACTCGCTCTGCTTTCTCGATCAGCCGCAGGCCACGACTATTCACCCTCTTCCCCGCGGACGCTAAGACTCGCTCTGTTTTCTCAATCAGCCGCAGGTCACGGCTATTCACCCTCTTCCCCGCCTACGCTAAGACTCGTTCTGCTTTCTCGATCAGCCGCTGGCACGGCCCTTTCAGTTTTCTCAACCGGTCTTCTTCTTGAATTGCTTCAGGTAATTTTAATCTTTAATCTTTAATATTTATTATTATAATATGTTCTGAATTCTTGTGTTAATAGAGTTTTAGTTCTGGCTGGTTTTGATTATGAATTGCTCTATTTCTTACTTCTTGTTTTATCTAAATTTAAATTTCTCACTGATTTTGGTTTTGAGGCTGTATTGCTAATTTCTACAAAACCTAATTTTGGTGTTTAAGGCTTTCATGGAAAGTTGTTTTTTTGTCCTTTTAAATTGGTCTGGACTCTGGATAGTCTCCCGTAGAAGGGGCCATTCCAGTTTTGATGTTCGTTTCAGGAAAACTTCAATCTTCTAACTCAATCTTTCTTTTATAGCACTGATCCAATAATTGATTTATAGTAAATACAATTTGAATCTTTCTTTTTGCATAGATATTTTTATGTTTGAAAGAAACAGATTAAAAGCATTTTGATAATTTTTTAATTAATATGATGTATTTATTATCCTTTTACTTTATGTGTTTTTTGTTTTTTCTAATTTAATTCTTTTCAAGAAAAAGAGGCATACTAATAACTTAGATAAGCTTAATCCTCTGTTAGCTTGTTCTGGAAAACTACTGTTTATAAATGAACTTAGATGTACTTATTCAAAACTGAAACTTGGATTTCATGATTTTCATCTTAATGTATTTTTTTTAATGTATTAAGGTGCTTTAAAATTTAAATGAACTTTGATGTACTTATTCAAATGTCTAAGCTGCGTTAAAATTTAAATGAACTTAGATATACTTATTCAAATGTCTAAGGTGCTTTATCAATTTAATGTATTTTTTTAGACACAATGACTCCAAACAAAGATTGGATGACTATAGAAGATTATGTCAATGACAAATCATACGAAGCAGGAGTTAATAGCTTCTTAGACTATGCTTTTAAGAAGTTAGGAACTAAAGTACTTCGTTGCCCTTGTTGCAAATGTTTGAATGGAGAGTTTGGGGATCGTGAGAAAGTCCGAGAACATTTATTAGTTTTCGGAATAGTTAAGAGATATACATTCTGGTATCATCATGGTGAAAGGTTAGATGAACCACCATCTACGTCTGAAAGTGACAAGGGTTTAGAAGGGTCTGAAAATGAAGATGAAGATGAAGTTCCTCTTATCCTAAGAGATTTATATCCAAATTACCATGACGGTGGCTCTCCCTTGAACAAAAATTATTTT